AGTAATATAATATTTCGATAATCTTAATCCCAATGGTAATCTTACATTCCGTGAATCAAATACACTCTTAGGGGGCGTTTGGATGGAGGATTTTAGGATTCCTGGTGGGAATATTTTTTTCCTGACTAAGGATACCCATGTTTGATTGGGTATTCTTTCTTAATTGAGGGTAATTTTTCTTTCCCAACAGTAAATATTCCTGGGAATGTTATTCCCCTACATCCCTTAGGTATTCTTCTATTCCCGTCTGGTAAGTGCTAAAATACCCTTCTTTTTTGTTTGCCTCTGCGATATTTCTTCTCCCAAGCATTGTTATTTTTTCCTTCGCGCTCTCTCTCTTTGTTCTTCGATCCCGTTTCGGCATAGAACGGAAATCTCTCGTTCAACGCTATGTCCGAAATGACTCAGGGATCCGAACTTCAGAATGGTTTCCACTACCCGAAATGGAGTCGGATTTGAAAGTGGAATCTCTGTCTGAATTACAATCAGAAACGAAACCGGTTGAGGAATTAAAATCGGAACCGGGGGTAAGTGATGCCGAGCCGAAGCCGACTCCGGACACAGAGAGCTCGATCCAAGCAACCACCGACCAAGTTGCTCGTCCGGGGCTGCGTAAAGATGAAGAGAACCGGACTTTCACGATGAGAGAATTGCTAAGTGAATTGAAAAGCGATGAAGATGATACAAGCTCTCCTTACAGGTACTCTTTCCCCTCGTCCGTTTCGAGTCTCTGTTGCTAAAAAATTTACTCTCCTTAATTCGTTATTGGATCTAACGAGCTTTCAATGTAAAACCTCTGGATCCTTGGCATTCTCTGTTGACTCATCTCCTTAATTAGGCTATTTCACAAAAACTTCTAGATGTATCTAGGCGTACTCGTTCTGTTAGACTAAGAGTTTGTCTTCAATTATTGCACGGATGAGCGACTGTTATCCGATCTCAGTCTTCATTACTCTTGAACCTAATTGTTAGAATCTAATCATGTATGTTTTGCTGTATGTGAGCCTTTTAGTTTGTTCTCAACTTCATGTGCGACATTAACTATATCTTACGCTTTCTATAACTTTGATTAAGGAGTCCTTGATTTTGCGATCTTCCAGTCTATAAATGCAGTTTATATTATCTTTCATGGTGCCATTCATGCAGTAAAGGTTTCTTGGTCTTGTCGGAGTAAATAACTAAATATGTATCATCTTGTTTCTTCTTGTATTTATAATGTTTCTTTTGCTCGACAATGATATCATTTTCTACTTCATGATTTATATATGCTTCAGTCAAGAAAGCAAACAACGACAATCCTACCAAAACAATGTTGTAATGGAGTTTATCAATAGTGTCACTGTATTGATGAGGAAGACAGGTCTCGCCAACGGATTCTTGTATATGCTGCTAGAAGGTACCATCATCTTGTTTTATACATTTTTCACACTTTTTATTCATATTGAACCTGATATGTTGCTGCTTTGATTCTGCTATTCTGTAGTACTAATTTTAAGTCAAATTTTGTAGGTATGCTACTGCGCTAGAGAGAAACCCAGAAGATTATGATGCTTTTTACAACTGGGCATTGGTTCTTCAGGTTTGAGATGTTGGTTCATTCTGATATTGTTATCTTAACATCATTCAAAATGATATATCATGTCCAATTCTTATATTGCTAGAACTTCCTGCTTAAGTTTGTGAATGTAAACATGATGTAATCTTTGCAAAATATTATAGATTTCTCATTATGTCCATGCGATTCTTATTTGGCTTGCAGGAAAATGCAGATAATGTTAGTCCAGATTCTACTTCGCCTTCTAAAGATGCCTTGATAGAGGAGGCTTGTAAAAAGTATGATGAGGCTACTCATCTCTGTCCAACACTTCATGATGTATGAGTTCTTGTTCAACTCACTGAGAATTTGTGATTTTTTAAGTTCGTTTTCAATTACAAAGGGCATGATGACTTATCAGAATGCATAAGCCATATAAGAAGCTCGATAGACAAGAAAAATAAGTGTAGAGATGCAGAATACATAAGCCATATAAAAAGCTGGATAGACAAGAAAAATAAGTGTAGAGATGCATAATGCATATATGTTCCCATATATGGATGAGTATGTATAGTATATATCTTTTACTATATTCTTTTCCTTGACTTTGTTGCAATGTTGTTGCTTAACAGGCTTTCTACAACTGGGCAATAGCAATATCTGATCGAGCAAAAATGCATGGTCGGACCAAAGAGGCTGAAGAACTTTGGGAGCAGGTTCTTACTAAATCTTAGTAAGAATAATAGTAGTCCTTTGAAGCCAAATCTTAGTATCTTGTTATGGTTCTTCAGTTAGTATCTTGTTATGAAAACCTTTTTCCTTGCATGGATAATATTCTTATTCTGTTTATGCTTCATGATAGCTTCATGCTATTATACAATCTTTGATAGTTAAGAGTTATCGCTTAAAATATGAGCATTCTTTCTGGGCTTTCTTCCATCTTGCATGTCTAAACCATTCTTTGATTGGGTATGGCTGATGAATTCTCGGGAAAACAACAATCTCCATATGCACAGAATACTTGCATTGAAGATTTAGACTCAGGTTTAATACATCTATGGCCATACATGTGGTCAATCTTCTATTTCTCGAACTCAAAACTTGATCTTCTTCAAATTGATACATGATTTTTACATTTCCTATATGACAAATCAGGAGGATTTGGTTAGAATTTTGCGTTCATTTGTTTCATTTTACTACCATGAACATCATATTTAACTCAATCAACTTCTTATCATCGTATTGGTGCCTAAGATTATATATAGAGATAAATGTATATTTTAGATCAATGGTTATCTTCAAAACATTTCTTGGTGTCTGTTACCATTTTGTGCCTCGTGGTATTTAAAAATAACTATGTTCTTGTTCTTGTATTGTCGATACAGACATTCAGTGTAGAGTTTAATAAATCAAGGAATGATACCATAAGGGGCAGCAAAACCATCAATTGTTACGGTGCCATTCACATTTTCAAATTCGCAAAAGCTTCTCCGATATATGTTACTGTTGGAAACATGTATGTGTCGAACTCAATGCTATTTGGATGATGCTCTCAACCAATTTTGAATGTAACGTAATTATCATGTGGGTTGCTAAAATTTTAATGTCGTAATTCGACCAATTGAACCAGTTCAATCGAGAATCGGCTGGTCTGGGGTTCATCTGTCAAAAATTAGAAATTTGAAGAATTGTTGTGAGCAACTTCAAAACCAAAACCGAACATTGAAATAGGAAAAACCGGATGAGCAAGTCCTTTTTAGATTCTTTGTTAATAGGGTCTTTAATTCGATCAATCTAACCAATTCAATTGAGAGTGACTGATCTAGTGGTTATAAAATTGGAAATCTGAAGAACTGTACTTAAAAACCAAAAATTGAAATAAAAAAGACGGATGAACAAGTTATTTTATGGCTTTTTAATTTCTTTTTAGGTTCCTTGTTAATATGGTCTTTAATCAACCAATTCAATCGAAATTTATTAATGTAGTGGTTGTAAATCATTCATAAATATAAACAAATATAAGAGCATACTTTATTCCATTAAAAAAATAGATTAATTCAAAATCGTTTAAAAACATTAAACTATTAGTATTTTTAAACTTTAAATAAATAATATACAAATATTTGTCCGAAACGGTGAATGCCAAGGGTTTATGTAATGAACTTTCCTGTTATCTTGAGTGATAACAGTAGAAGAAATAGAGAAAAGATGATAAAATAGAAAAGAAATATTTGAATTATAGACAATATGATTTTTAGTATTATATTTTCTTACTTATTTGAATTACGTTTTTGCGATATAAATTAATGAGATAAATAATAATGATAAAATATGCAGAATTAAGTATAAATATAAAAGATAAATAAATAAATTATTATATATAGAAGATATAATAAATATTATATCTTAGATAACAAAAATAATTTACATCTTTTTATTATTATGAATATCTATGAAGAATTTCCACAATGTAAACATTTAGTTAAATGTTGATGTAAAATTTTAATATATATTTACATAAATTATGTAAAATTTAATATTAATTAAAATTAAAATAATAAATGATATATTTAAATACTCAAGTAATATATTATCAAGAAATAGAATTTTTATATAAATAGTTTTTATTTAAATATTTATAATTTCACTTGTTAAAAAAACAAATATAGAACAAGGACAATTTGGTAAAATATACATTCCAGTAATATTTTATTTCTTCAACCAAACACTGTAATCTTACATTCCTGCCAAACCAACCAAACACAGTAATGTAACATTCCCAGTAATCTTATTCCCTGATAATCGTTTATTCCCACTGGTAATCTTATATTCCGTGAACCAAACGCACCTTTAGGGTTTAGAGTTTATGCTTTTTATGGATTACGGTTTAAGGTTTTAGGATTTAAAGTTTTAAAGTTTATATTGTTTAGGGTTTAGGGTTTAAAGATATTAAAATTTATAGTTTGGGGTTTTAAGATCTATAGTTATAGAGTTTTGAGGTTTAAATTTTAAGGCTTAAAGTATTAGGGTTTAGGGTTTAAAATTTTGTGATTTAAGGTTTAAAGTTTAGAGTTTACGGTGTTGTGATTTAAAATTTAAACTTAGATCTAGAGTTTTATGAATGAATTACGAAACAACAGAGACATGGTAATTTAGGTCCACTGAAAACCTGAGAAAATGGTTTGTGCAAAAGGGACCTCTTGAATTGAAAATTACTTGGAGATATTTGGCATTGATAGTTATTGGTACTTTTCAATAAAAGAAATCGGGCTTTAAAAACATAGTTGCCAGATAAGCGGTCTGGTCTGGTCTGGTCTGGTCCTGTCCGCCAATCAAAGACACAATTAGGAATAAGCCAGGTGTACCCTAAAAATATCATCACCAGTCTCCACTCCCACCCGGCTCTTATAAAAACCCAACCAAATCCCAAAACCTAATATAAATAAATTAAAAAGAAATTCAAATTCAAAAAAGAAACGTTCGTCTCCACTCTCACCAATAAACCTTCCCCATCTATCCAAAAACAAAGAAAACTACAATCTGAAATTTGGATTTTGTTGAAACGACACACACAGAGAGGGAGAGAGAGATGAGGATACAGTGCAACCTGTGCGAGGTGGCCGTGGCGAAGGTACTTTGCTGCGCCGACGAGGCGGCGCTCTGTTTGGCGTGCGACCAAAAAGTCCACGACGCCAACATGTTGGTCAGCGAGCACCACCGTCTCCCCCTCTCCTCTTCTTATCAGATGCCTAAATGTGATATATGTCAGGTACTTCCATATAAAAAATATATATTTTAAAAAAAAGTGGAGTCTTTCTGTTCTTATTTTGTTTTGTTTTGATAAAAAGAAAACCAAGGGATTTTAATTTTCTGACAGGAAACACCTGGGTTTTTCTTTTGTTTGGAAGATCGAGCTTTACTCTGCAGAAAATGTGATGTGGCTATACATACGGTAAATTCACTTGTGTCCGGCCATCACAGATACTTGCTAACAGGAGTTGAAGTTGATACTGAAACTAAAAACTGATCCAAAATCTCATAAACTAAATCTAATGCTACATCTACAAATGGTACTTCCTCTGGCATTTGGTGTTGTTTAGTTAATGGATGTCTGGAATCAGTGAAAATCTAAGCTTAATTTGCTTTCTTTGCTATTGTTAATGTAAAGCGGTGCAATTTTTTTTTATATAAATCCGCTAGTTTTATTAAAAATCGAAACTATCCAGAATTGCAATAAAAGATTTACAAGGATATCTGTAAACGTAAACTAAATTATAATTATGATATTTTCTTATAATAATTGAAACAAAGACTAGACACCTAGATCACTCAATGACTAAAGAAGAAAAGGTTAAAAACCCTAACTAAAATGCTCGAACAAAATAAAAATACTAACAAATTTGATTGCATTAGTAAACGAACCACAAAAGGGGATGAAGCTATTGAAAGACACCAACAAATCGTAAATAAGAGTCAAACGACGTGAGAAAACTATCAACGAACACAAAACACATATCTAAATCAATTAGAGGGTCCAAAGCAAGGAAGATCACATGATAACAAATAAGAGCCATCTTGGTCAGTCATGACGATATCAAATCCAACACTGAGAAAAAAATAAATGAAAATAACGGTCAAACGATCATAAACTACCAAAAATATTTATAAACGTGCCATAAAGACAGAGATAAACGTATCACAAAGACATACTTATTCTTATTAAAAAATTAAAATAAAACAAAGAGACAAGACAACCGACGTCGACAACTAGCATCAGAACTGGTGTCGACACTGGCTAAACAAAATCAACAAAAAAAAATTGATTTGATCTATAGAAAATGATACAAATTGTAAAGAAAGGAAAAAAAAAGGGAGGGAGGAGGGAGAAAGTGGCTAAGGTTTTAAACTGGTGCAATTTTAATTGATGGTAATAATATTATTCGTTCATTTTTCAATTTTCCTTCTATTCAATATTTATATTTAGAACATATACTACCAATTGTAATCATCTAGATTATTCAAAATAAAAATGTAAATTATACCATTGACCACCTAACTAGTTAACATTTTGTTTCTTTTGCTACCGATCTTTCAATTTTATCAGTCATACCACTTAAATATTTAAATGTTATCAATTAAGCCACTAACCATTAACAGTTGACAAAATGCTGACGTGATAGTTAAAAATATTGATATATTTATACATTTATTCCTTAATATTTATATATTATCTCAATTTAATCCTAATTTAGATTTAATTTATTAAAGTAACTATTTAATCAGGATCTGACATGTGTTAGAATCGGGTCATGACACATGCCGTTAGTGACACATGTCTCTTTATTTCCCATATGAACGTTAGTTCAATTCCCCTTGGGTGCAATTTCATGTCCCTTTATTTTCAAATCCTTCAACCGTGTATTGACATGTGTCTTTAACAATATGTGTCATGATCCTGTGCTGACACATGTAAAATCATGATTGAATGATTAATTTATTAAATTAAATTTATTATGACTAAATTAATAGAATAAATAAATATTAAGAACTAAATGCATAAACAACTTATTCTTTTAACTTCCACATCAGCATTTCTTTCATTTGTTAATGGTTAGTGGCTTAATTGACAACAATTAAATACTTAGCTGGTTTGATTGACAAAATTGAAAGATCGGTGGCAAAAGCAAAAGGGTACCTAAGGCCCCTTTACTTTTCCAAATTATACTGTAGCCCTCAAACTTTTTTTTATACATAATGTGGCCCTCGAACTTAGAAAAAGAACTCAATGTGGCCCTTTGAACAACAGTTTCTGTCGTTGAACATTACGAAGCTGATTCGGCACTACATAAATGACTACATAACTATAGGTTGGGTAGCAAAATGACCACCATTTTCAAATTTGCGTCAATATGATCATTGAACTATTTAAATGGATTCAATATAACCACTTGTCGTTAACCCTTAACGGAGGTGTCTATGTAGCAGTTAGAAAAATTAGTATAACTAGGGCACATATCCTTATAAAGTTATGTATTCGCAGCGGTGGAACCCTTCTTTTTTTCTTCCACTTTGGTTACTACTTGTGTATGATTTGTTTCCTTGGATTTTCATTTAATTCAATTTGATCCTGATTCTGTTTTTAATTTGTCTAATGCCTTAGTTTGAGCATTATCTTTCAAATCTTTTATTCTAGTCATGTATTAAATTTGTAGATTAATTCCCCTAGATTTTAGAATTAATTGTTGAGCCAATTCTCACAATTGTTATCAAGATAATACGTATGTTATATAACTTGTTCAAGTTTAGGCAGAAAAATAAAACTAAAATAAGTTATTGTATTATAGTTAATGATAGAAATAGACAAGTAAGGACATAAATCTAGGTCAATTGAAAATATGATAACACTTAAATTGCTAAAAAAAGTCTAATATATTATTTATAATTAATTTACAATTTTATTATTTTTAAATTCAAGTTATTTATTTTATATTTATTTCTTAATGATTATAATTTGAATCTTAAATATTTTTTCTTATGATTATAATTTGAATATTAAATTATTTTTAATGATTTCATATATATAATCATTAAAAAATAAATATGAAAACAATAAATTTAGTTTAAAAATAGGCTTAATGCCCAAATAAGTGCCCAAACTATACCTTTTGTGCCAAATAAGTGCCTACATTTTTTTGGCCCATCTGGGTGCCTAACATTACAAACGTTAGCACTTTAGGTGTCTTGGCTGTCAACAACGTTAGTTTTACTCGTTAAGTGACACATGTCACAACCTGATAATTTTGAAATTTATTTTTAAAATAAATATTAAAAATATTATTATATTATAAAAAACTCTAACTTTTTTCATATTATAAAACAACCCCAAAATCCCAAATCCTTACCTTAATTCGATGTTACCGCCCTCTCCAACCATGACCACCACTGTCGATGTAGTCCTTGCCATCATCCTAGTTAAGTGTCACCGTAGTTGTTGTCGATTCATAGTCGGAATCACATGAGATCATAATTTTTATTCTAGGGTTCGAGATTTAAAATGTCGATTTATCATCGATTGGTCACAATTTCATAGAGGTTTTGGTCGTTGGGAGAGGTGAGCATAAGTGGAGCTTCTTCGATGACAAAGGGAGGCGGGCGGCGTATGTTTAGGGTTGTATGAAGGTTTTCAAAGTTTAAGGGTTATTTCAAAATTTACGTGTTTTCTTTTTTAAAAATATATAATTTTATTTTTTAAACTTTTATATAAAATTTTAAAATTATCAGGTTGTGACACATGTCACTTGACGAGGAGAACTAACGCTATTAACGGCCCGAGCACCTAAAGGGATAATGTTTGTAACGTTAGGCACCTGGATGGAGTAAAAAAATGTAGGAACTTATTTGGCAAAAAATGTATAGTTTGGGCACTTACTTGGGCATTAAGCCGTAAAAAATATTAAAATATTAAATCAATTATAAATAAACTATTAGATTTATTTTTGTGATTTAAGTGTTGTCATATTCTCAGTTGGCCTAGATGTAAGTTCTCACTTATCCGTTTTTACACACACACATATAATATTATAATTGATTCCTAAATATTAGATTTAGCTTATTGGTTAAGGCTTGCTTGATTACCAATTCAGTTTGTGTTCAAATCTAATTAAGTTATTTTAATTTTTTTTCTACTTAAACTTGACAAGTTATATAACATATGCATTATCTCAATAACAAGCGTGAGAATTAGATAAGTGGTTAAGGCATGTAAAGGTTACCCTTGGGACCCAAGTTGGATTCCCTAGAGTGTCAAAACTAATCTTTATTTATTTTCACTTCAACATAAAAAATTTATTAAATTAATAAAATTAAAAAACACTTTAATCAGATTGTGACATGTGTTACAATTTGATTGGAGAAATAAATTTATTAAATTAAATTGAAATTATGACCTAATTAAAAAATAAGAATTAAAGTTAATCTTGGTGATCAAATTGATTAATTCTAAAATCTAGGGGATTTCATCTACAAATTTAACACATGATTCGAATAAAAGATTTTAAATTTAATGCTCAAATTAAGGCATTAGACGAATTAAAAACATAATCATGACCAAATTGCATTAAATGAAAATCTAAGGAAACAAATCATACATAAGTAGTGACCAAAATGGAACAAAACAAAGTAGGATTCCAGCACTGCAAATATGTAACTTTACAAGGACCCATGCCCTAATTATACTAATTTTGTTAATTGCTATGTGGACACCTCCATTAAGTGTTGATGACAAGTGGCTATAATGAAATCATTTAAATAGTTCAGTGGTCATATTGATGCAAATTTGAAAATGGTGGTCATTTCGCGACTCAGTCCATAGGTATGTGGTTATTTATGTAGTTTATCCTTGGATTTTTTAAAGTTCCAGGGATTATTTGATTATTTTTTAAAAAATACAAATATTTTAAATTTAAACTATAAAAATATTAAGTTAATTATAAAAATGCATTAATTATTAGTATTATTTATTAAATAAAATATTAAAATAAAAATATTAAAAATAATAAATATTTACTATATAAGTAAGAAAATTAAACAGGAGTAAAAAGTAATAAATAAATAAAATATCAAATATAGGAGAATAAAGAATATATCATTTAAAAATAAGAGTAAAATCTCTATACTCTTACTGATAAAATGAATTTTAAACAATTATTTATATTGCATTGCAAATAATTCTCATCCAATCAAATTCATATTATTTTAATCACAAATTTATTAATTTATTAATATATTTTTTTAATATCATAACAGTCTCATACCAAAAATTTTCTTTAGATATTATAAAATTTGCAACTAACTCTAAATTATCTACATTCTTATGTGTTCAAAATAATGACACCAATACTAATAGTGATGAAAACAAAATGCTTAAGTGAAAGAATAAAAATTTAAGAGGTGTTGAAATTAAAAATCAAAGGACTAATGGGATTAACTTAATATTTTTATATTTTAAATTTAAAATATTTGTATTTTTAGAAAACCAAATAAACCCTTGAAGAAAAAACCAATTTA